CCTGGGTTCCTTTGATTAATTGATGTTTGATGAAGAATTGATGTTGGATGAGGAAGGAGAAGGTGATGTTTGATGAAAATATATATATATATATATATGTTTATGTGTTTTTGTGAATTTTGTTGTTTGATGAAGAATTGATTGATGAAGATGAAGATGAAGAATTGATCAACGAAGATGGCAAGGAAAGGAACAGGAAGGTGAAAGAGAAAGTGGAGGAAAAAAGAAAAATTTTTAAATTTTTATTACCAAATCATTTTTTTTGCCATGCTAAATTTCCACGTAGGTTCAATATTTTGACAGATCATTATCCTTCCGTTAGTTAACAGTACACGTCATGCGATTTTTAATGGAGGGACCAAGTTGGGGTTAAAATGGTAAACAGTAAGGACCAAGTCAATGATTTTTTGAGTTGAGGGACTCAATCGGGGGTCCGTACAATAGTTGAGGGACCAAAAAGGGGATTTAACCTAAAATAAAATAAAGAAATCAATATTGCTTGATGAGATTAATGACCGGCAATAATAAAGAAAAGGATTGAATGTTTAGTTTAATATAAGAACAAATTTGGAGATGTCTGGTCATGTGAAGACCGATAGAAATAGCATCGTCATTAGGGGGTAGTCATGGTGATTTTACTTTTGAATCCGTGGTACGGTAATTAATTCTTGGATATTTTGATTAGGTTCCTGATTGTTTTGTCAGTTTAGTATTGAGATCGAGTCCTCGGTTTTATGCGAGTGAGGTAAGTAACTTATGATAATGCCCTGGATTTAAGGTAAAGCTTTTAAAAGTAAATTTTTGATGGTTTTGAAATGGCGGCGGGACTAAACCCGTTTCACGCGAGCATGACTGATTTGAAGTGAAATTTTTATGCTTTTCATTAAATTGAGCATACCTACTTGAAATTTAATTGATTGTCCTGATGATCTGAAAGTGATTGGTGAATTATGATTTTCTGTTAACTTCTACCTGTTTTGTCTCCGATATGGTCATGTTATTCATGTGCTCGCTAGTGGGAGGTTTATAAACGCTAGCACATGTCGACATGTTACTGATAGAACCGGTTCGTTTCTGTTATCCTGCTAGTGGGATTATACACTAGTAAATCGTGTGCTTGTCAGTGGGAGGTTTATAACACTGGTCATGACCTATAGAGGAGACGTCTATTTTATTTTCGTACCGTATCCGTTTTTCATGATTACACTTGTTGGCATGTTATGAGTTTAATTACGGGCTACCCATATTTTACTTACTAAGTTATCTCACCTCGTTTTTCTCATCCACCATTTCAGGTAGTGTAACTCGAGACATGAAACCAAGGGGAGTGACGAGGTAGAAGGCTAGCCATTTGTAATAGGATATAAGTTTTAGATATACCATGCTCTTGTAAGTTAGATTTTAATTGGAAATTTTATGGTATCAAAACTGATTTTGTTGAGTAAGTTCTGAGCCTTGTGTACTGGTGGGACCCGTCTCACAAGTGTACGGTGTCTGCCACGTCCCCAGATTTGGGTTCTTGGGTGTGACACATAACTAGAGATGACAAAGTCATCCTTGCACCCTCTAATCCTTTGGATGAGTTTCAAGAAATTAACCTATGAATTAATTACCTTTTTAGCAAATTTATTTTAGGACAATATATATACATCTTGCAAAGTTACACACTCTATTACACATTGACGAAAACCATTAGTATGTAATGAAAATCGTTAGTGTGTAACAAAATTGTTAGTTTTAACGACACAAGAAATGAAAACTGTAAGTATGTAACGGAGTATATAATTTTGTAAGGTTGATATACCATTTCCCTTTATTTTATCATATTATGTTTGCACTTGTTGATAACTATTAAAAGTAAATGCTATACTAATTTGGAATTTCAACTTGAAATCTTATATTACCTTAACTTGCTCTTATTTTCTTTGTCACTTACTCTTAATACTATCATTTATGGCAATGTATTGTTTTTGTTGTTATTCTAGCATTAATACAAAAAAGGCATCACAATAAGGATGCTGAAGGCTTTCATTGCTTTATTATGATAAGTAAGGCAACCATGCATTTAATGAAGCACCAAGTTGAAAGATATGTAAGAATCCTTAAGAATTTGTGTCTAAAACTTTGGTTTTTTCATTTTAATATCACCACAAGGTCTTTCAAGTTATACATTAACTTATGTGCTCTAGTGGTGATTTCCTTTAAGGTCTTTTATTACTACATCACATAATGCTTGATCAATTTTTTTTTTTTTTAAAAAAAACTACTACATCGCTTAGATTGTTAGCAACTCAAATATTAATTTGTTTTCAATAACTTAGTTTGTTTCATGAATTACTCTTATTAATTATTTTTTTGCTACATTAAGAATTAAGCATGTCTAGAAATGGTTATACCACAATCAACTGTGTATAATAAATCAATGACAATTTGATACATTTATAATCTATTGATGCATGCAAATTCAAGATTGAATGAAAATACCAACTTTATTATTATTATTATTATTATTATTATTATTATTATTATTATTATTATTATTACTTTGCCTATATGTCAAAAGTCAATTGGTGTTTTTATACTAGGTAGACCTAGGGTTGTAACATTAATTGTTAACCATTTCACTCTTTACTCTTTCCCACCCAAGCTTCATCTAAATATGTTTACCATAAACACTCTCCATAATTTTATGACTAAACATACATTATGTTAATGCTAATCAACAAGTGCTCTCTTTGGATGGTCCAATGCATACTCTTTATGATTTTATTTATCAAAAAAGTGTTATGCAGTTTGAGCTACACAATTTAAACCATTGCATGATGGTAGACCCCTAAATTGAGGACTCTCATCCCATTCAATGGTTATTGTTTTACAATCTGATACCATTCAAATTGCAAGATTGAGAACTCTTCATTTATATCAACTTTCAATTTTGTCTTGATAAAAGTCTTTATTTTGCAAATGTAGATGATTACTTATAAACCGAATGGTTTGGATAATTCCATAATATGGTCTGAAAGTGGCAACTTGGGGGATGGTTATAGAATTATTCGTAAGATAAATGACAATACTAAATGTTTGGATGCTACTAGTGGTCATGTCCATGATGGCATCAATATCATATGCCATCCAATGCATGAGACCAATAACCAATTTTGGATGCTTTCACCTTATTGTAAATTACAAGAGCTCACAATCAAAGACATTTATATTTTACTTTCTGCATCTAACATCTTTAATATCATTATTTCAATAGTATATATATATATATATATATATATTTTTTTTTTTTCTTATTAGCAAAATAAAAAGGAATTTTATTGTTCCTCCCTAATGTCTTAACTTTTGTTGTGAAATAGAGGATACATGCGACATATGATTACCAATTTCAGAATCTAATTTACTGCACTTGCTAAAATAAAGTGCTTGGAAAGGGTCACAGCATGTTCTTTTCTTGAGTTGTTAGTTTGTATTAATTTGTTCCTTGTGACGTGTGTTGAAGTAGACTTCTACTCTTCTATAAGCTAGGCTGTTGTTATACGTATTTTTAATTATAATTGTCGATACCAATGTGTGTGAAAATTGTATGTCAAATCTATAATGTATTTTCACTGTCATTCCATAAGCCAGGAATTAGACCTGATCATGTTCTACAAATGATAT